TGTCCAGCGTCAGCCCGCTTCAGTGATGGAGAGTTACACCAGTGACGGAGGCTCCTATCTGTCCTCTCACACACCGTCCCCGTCCCCGTCCCCGTCTCCACCCAAACTCACATCCTCCATCCTCTACCGCACAGACACCCAGAGCAGCGGCTTCATCACAGCGGTAAGAGTGGACGTGAAGCCATTCTCAATGTGTGTATTTGTGGGTGGCAAAGTGAATCTAGTAAATGAAATTCTCATTTTGAAAATGGAACTGAACAGACATTATTTACAAAATCATGAAAATCGAGTCGGCCTCAAGACTTAAAATGCTGGGTTGTTTCAACCCAAATTTGGACAAACCCAAATGTTGGGTTAAAAATGCAATCAAAACATTTACTGTTGAAAAGGAAGAGTTGAAGTTGGGTTCATATTTGAAATTACGTTTTTAACCCAACATTTAAATTTGTCCATATTTAGCCAAATTTGGGTTAAAACAACCCAGCATTGTTTAGGGTGCACACTAAAAAAAACTCTAAGAAATTGATTTGTTTTAAACCCAAATTTGATTAAAATATGGACATTTGATTAAAAATGTAATTAAAAAATTTACAGTTGAAAGTGAGAGTTGAAGTTGGGTTAATATTTTTAATTAAATTTTTAACCTAACATTTGGGTTTGTCCATATTTGACCCAAATTTGGGTTAAAACAACCCAGCATTGTTTAGGCTGCACACTAAAAAAAAACTCTAAGAAATTGATTTGTTTTAAACCCAAATTTGATTAAAATATGGACATTTGATTAAAAATGTATTTAAAAAATTTACAGTTGAAAGTGAGAGTTGAAGTTGGGTTAATATTTTTAATTAAATTTTTAACCTAACATTTGGGTTTGTCCATATTTGACCCAAATTTGGGTTAAAACAACCCAGCATTGTTTAGGGTGCACACTAAAAAAAAACTCTAAGAAATTGATTTGTTTTAAACCCAAATTTGATTAAAATATGGACATTTGATTAAAAAATGTATTTAAAAAATTTACAGTTGAAAGTGAGAGTTGAAGTTGGGTTAATATTTTTAATTAAATTTTTAACCTAACATTTGGGTTTGTCCATATTTGACCCAAATTTGGGTTAAAACAACCCAGCATTGTTTAGGGTGCACACTAAAAAAAAACTCTAAGAAATTGATTTGTTTTAAACCCAAATTTGATTAAAATATGGACATTTGATTAAAAATGTATTTAAAAAATTTACAGTTGAAAGTGAGAGTTGAAGTTGGGTTAATATTTTTAATAAAATTTTTAACCTAACATTTGGGTTTGTCCATATTTGACCCAAATTTGGGTTAAAACAACCCAGCATTGTTTAGGGTGCACACTAAAAAAAAACTCTAAGAAATTGATTTGTTTTAAACCCAAATTTGATTAAAATATGGACATTTGATTAAAAATGTAATTAAAAAATGTACAGTTGAAAGTGAGAGTTGAAGTTGGGTTAATATTTTTAATTAAATTTTTAACCTAACATTTGGGTTTGTCCATATTTGACCCAAATTTGGGTTAAAACAACCCAGCATTGTTTAGGGTGCACACTAAAAAAAAAACTCTAAGAAATTGATTTGTTTTAAACCCAAATTTGATTAAAATATGGACATTTGATTAAAAATGTAATTAAAAAATGTACAGTTGAAAGTGAGAGTTGAAGTTGGGTTAATATTTTTAATTAAATTTTTAACCTAACATTTGGGTTTGTCCATATTTGACCCAAATTTGGGTTAAAACAACCCAGCATTGTTTAGGGTGCACACTAAAAAAAAACTCTAAGAAATTGATTTGTTTTAAACCCAAATTTGATTAAAATATGGACATTTGATTAAAAATGTATTTAAAAAATTTACAGTTGAAAGTGAGAGTTGAAGTTGGGTTAATATTTTTAATAAAATTTTTAACCTAACATTTGGGTTTGTCCATATTTGACCCAAATTTGGGTTAAAACAACCCAGCATTGTTTAGGGTGCACACTAAAAAAAAACTCTAAGAAATTGATTTGTTTTAAACCCAAATTTGATTAAAATATGGACATTTGATTAAAAATGTATTTAAAAAATTTACAGTTGAAAGTGAGAGTTGAAGTTGGGTTAATATTTTTAATTAAATTTTTAACCTAACATTTGGGTTTGTCCATATTTGACCCAAATTTGGGTTAAAACAACCCAGCATTGTTTAGGGTGCACACTAAAAAAAAACTCTAAGAAATTGATTTGTTTTAAACCCAAATTTGATTAAAATATGGACATTTGATTAAAAATGTATTTAAAAAATTTACAGTTGAAAGTGAGAGTTGAAGTTGGGTTAATATTTTTAATTAAATTTTTAACCTAACATTTGGGTTTGTCCATATTTGACCCAAATTTGGGTTAAAACAACCCAGCATTGTTTAGGGTGCACACTAAAAAAAAACTCTAAGAAATTGATTTGTTTTAAACCCAAATTTGATTAAAATATGGACATTTGATTAAAAATGTATTTAAAAAATTTACAGTTGAAAGTGAGAGTTGAAGTTGGGTTAATATTTTTAATTAAATTTTTAACCTAACATTTGGGTTTGTCCATATTTGACCCAAATTTGGGTTAAAACAACCCAGCATTGTTTAGGGTGCACACTAAAAAAAAACTCTAAGAAATTGATTTGTTTTAAACCCAAAGTTTGCCATCAATATTGCTTTTGATGCTGACATGGTGTTAAATTATACACAAATAATAAGTGTTGACATTCACTGATTCACATGACATCTACTGTACTTACATTTCCGAACTACGACACAATGTTACACCTGATAGTAATATATTAACCAAGACAAAAAAAAAATATTATTAAAGTTTTAGACGAGCTAAAATAAAAGATCCTCCTTTACTTGTGTGACGTATCGCTATTACTATTCCTCATTACCTAGATTCCAGCAAATTGAATCTAATTGTATCTGACATGTTTGTTTTAGCAGAGCAAGACTTCTCATTGCCCGTTAGGCCTCTCGACTCTGGTCTGAATCAATCGGTTTAGATCAGTAAGTAACTAGTCTGAAGTCACCTGTGTGATTCCTGATGCCTGTTCCCCATTAACGCATGAGGCTGGCGCTGATTCCCATCTGAGAATCCCTTTGCTTGATGTCAGTGTGTTGGGCTGCATGTGTGTGCTGGGCTTCAAGGGTTGTTCTAGGTTACAGTACATGTACAGCTACCACAGACAATAACGTCATTGCTCACGTTTTCAGTAATGCAGAAATCTGAGCCGTGCATTTTAATTAAGCACTTGTTCAGTCGAAACTACTGTTTTGGAGGACCTTCCGGTTTTGCTTTGACGTGATTGTCTATGGTGATCGACTGAACGTCTGCACGCACCTTATGTTGAACATAAGCGTTTGTTCCCCTGCGATGCACATGCACTGTAATGCATGTGTAAGATTCTGTGGTGTCGAGTCCTATTTGTGTCATGGGTTTTATTGTGTCTAAAGCAATAATGCACAAATATCTCTTTTGGGGAGGAAGGACAAAACAATTGAATTGTTAAATACACGGGTCAATAAATGTGAAATTGTGCAGCTAACGTCGATCATGCTGCAAGATTCTCTTCCACACATTTGAACAAATGTGCGTTCACACTGACAGCGGTTTGCAGCATCAAAGCGTGAGAAATCATTGATCTTCAATAACAGTTTGCGATATGTGGTGCATGAGAACGATTTTTGGTGACGCCGTCAAGTGACTTTCCAAATACAGCTGGAATTTGTCACTGAGCTGAAACTACGGCTGCACGCTTTTGTAAAACAATGACATTAAACAATTATATTTTGTGTAATGCTGTGATTTGGAAAATACAGGAATTTTTAATCATTCTAGAATGAATGAGGTGATTTTGTTGGGGAGTTGTTGAGCTCTGCTTAGAAAATAAAAATGATTTCAAAAAGCTGAAAAATTACTTTTTGCTAACCAAACCTCTATCAGTAACCATAAAGTGAACAGATTTAAAAAATAAATAAATAAAATAAAATTTTAAAATCAGAATAAAAAAATTCTTTTCATAGGCCTCATTCCCAGTTTTAGACCATTTAAAAATGACTATAAAATAATCTGATTTCTATGGTGATTATTATTAAATACAAAAAAAAAATATATTGCAATAAATATTTTACATAATTTGAATTAATTTAGATATTCAAATAAATAAATATATTTTAAAAGAAAAAATATTTCAATTTTTACACTAAAAATATAAAATAATTACATTTAAAAAAATATTTCTTTCAGCAAAATAATCTGTCCGTTTTAACCTCTGCCCTCAGCAGATAAAAGGACAAAATTCATGCATTTATAATGTTATTAATAGACATGTGGGATTCATTTTGAAGCATTAAAGAAAAAAGTGTGACATTATTTCACAAAATGGAAATGTAGTCATTTATGCTTCTAGAGATAGCATAGCAATATTACTAATAGTCCAGCCCTTACAAAAATTGTCACAAAAATGGAGAAAATAAAATAATATTTTATAATATAAATTAAAAGTTAGGCCTGAATCTGCCATATTGTGATATTGAATATTTTATGATATATCATCCCTTGCAACCAACAGTTCCCATGATGATCGCTATGAGTGTGAACGCTTCTAATACAGACAAACTCTTAGCAGCGACTTGCGCGTTTCCAATAACTTGCTTTCTTTTGTTTTTCAAGCTGTGAATCCACTGAGACGGAGTGATGGGAAAACAGCTCACCAGTGCTGGTACGTTATTGGACCGGGCGAAAAGATCACGGATGTAAATAATTTCAAGCGTTTTAATACGCACAACAGAGACTTGCTTCACCACTCCACATTTGACTGATCTGTCTTTAAATAGTAGAGTACTGGCACTACTAATACAAATCCATTGAGGATTGCATTTTTATTAAGGACTGAGTCCATCTTTTTACTTTGAAAATAAAAAAATAAAACGATAAAAAAAAGAAGCTGTATTGAATTCTGTAATTTATTAAGATTGTGTTTTATTAACTCAAATTCATATGTAACTGATACGGAAAATACATTAATACAGTGTATAAATGTGAAAATATGTACAGAGAAATAACATCCAACACAATAAACAAATAAAGCTACAAGTGTGAGGGTCAGAAGCAGAGTCCGTGCTTTAGTTCTTCATTCTTGCTAATAAAAAACAAGAACTGTTGTATTTTCCTGGAATTTACGAACTAGTCCCATTAAAAGTCAAATCTGTTGCGGCTTCACCTCTCCTTCTCTTCGTTCAGAGACTTCTCATGACTATATTTCAGAAATTGCATCACGAATAAGGAGAATTCAGCAACTGCTTCTTCTTTTTTTAGTTCTTTAATTCTATTATTGTTGCTAAACCTTCTGAGAAAAGATGAGCTCAAACGGCACAGAGCTGAAAACACAGATGTTTGAATGAGGTGTTACTTCTTATGGTCCCGTTTCTCTCTGTAAAACCAGTATATTAGCACCGCAGCGATGAGCATGTCCATCAGAGTCACACACAGCACCAGCACCTCCATCTGCAGGACGCAAACACACACACCGATAACATCTGACAACAATAAAACAACACAAATGTCAATCTGGATCAATAAATGCTTTTCAAGCTTTATGAGCATGTTCAGGCCAAAAAAAATGAAGTTATATTTTGCATAAAGCCTATTTTTTTAAGATTTTCATATTTATTTGTTATACTACCAGCAAGTTATGCTTAATTAAATATATTGCTTGTCATTTTTATGTGCATTATTGTCATGAAAACAATGTCACAATGCAAAGAATCCTAATGATCCTTACAATAGGCTTGATTTTCTTTTTGCTAAATTTTTTATTTTATAATATTTTTACTATATTTTAAAACTATTTTATTTATCCGTTTGATTATATAGATGTTTCCCCCTTCTTATTCTGAGTCTTCAGTCTTTATTTGGCACATAAACTGTAAATAATTAAAAATGTTGACAGTACAGTATTGCTATCAAATTTGAAAACATGTTTTATGCATTTAACAAACCAAGATGCACAAATGTTTGTAACAACAGCGCAAGAATAGTTTGATTCAATCTACCTTGTACTGGATTTGATCTTGACTTGGATGAAGGTCAACAGCTAGAAGAATCACTCCGACCCCAGACACCACCAGACACGAGATGTTGGCGATGAAGCAAGTCTATTCAAAATAAAACTCTTGATGAACGCGTGAACTTTCCAAAGACAGTGTTTGTCAAATGCACACACTAACCTGTAGAAGCACGGGGCTTTTGTACAGAAGATTAGACAAGCACCCAGCCACGACAAACTGGAAGACAAAAGGAAACAGCATTTATGAATAACATTATTGATGAATCAACGGATTATTTGTACATCTAAAATGCAACATTCCTGCATGTGCTGCACAATGAAATATTTTCATATTAGAGAAGCAAACGAAGCTCACCATTATTCCAGTAACGATTGGCACTCGGAATAAGGTCAGTAGGTTATTATGGATAACGAATGATGCCGCAAACACCACCCCTATTCCCAAACTCACAATCCCACTGGATATTTGCACGGCCTACAGCAGGACAACAGAAAAAAATAACCTTTACAATCACATTTTGTATGTTGACAAATTCTTGCATCAAAAAAGTATGACTAAAGCTGAATTTACAGGCTAAACTCAACATGGACATTCAGCTTTTCACTTTATTCATTTTTTTTAAGGGTCAACAACAATCCTGTTTTCCCAGGACATTTTATTTAGTTTTTTTATAAAGTGATGAAAATGTCCTGGTTTTCAAAAAACTTCTGGGAAAGATCAGCAAAATATCTGTGCAAACAATGAGGATGAGGAAGAAAAACAGGATAAATAGATATGAATACATTTTGTTAGTTCGTTTTTGTACATTTGCGAGAGCTATTTTTGTTGAATTGTAGGTATTTATTTTAGTTATTTATTATACAGAAGTGACACTATATTATTATTTTTGAAACCTGTGATAATAAAACATGTTGAGTAACCGCTGAGAAGAGGTTGTCTTGTAATATAACCATTTTCTATCCACATTTACATTTTACATTTAGTCATTTTTATCCAAAACGACTTACAACTGAGGAAAAATAAGTAAAGTTGTAAGTAATTTTCCTCAGTTGTAAGTCTATCCATACAGAGAGGAGAAATGTATTGAAATTAATAAGGCATCTTTGAGGCACCTGTATCCTGGTAATCAAAATATGGTCACCCTAATTCATTTTATTAGCAAACTAAAACACACTCTTAGAAAAAAGTGGTTCGTTTTATATAGAACTCGAGGGTTCATGTCAAAAAAGGTTATCTATATGGAGAAATGTCTTAAATAATTGTATAAAACTGTCCTGTTTAGCAGGCTCTTTCCTCAGGTAATTTCCCCGGAGCTCAAATAAGGTCAGTGAATGCTGTGCAAGCGCAGGGTGTTGTGGGTTACCGCGCAGGTGGAGGGGCCCTTGCTCAGGAGCCCGTGCAGGACTGGCACTGCACCCGGCAGAGGCTCATTGGCACGGTAATACTTGACGAGCGGCCCTTCATCATCTCGTCTTCCTCCTGCTGGGTCCTCGTGCCTCTGAATCTCCATCGCGATATCCGCTTTAGCCATCTTCTCAACCGCTACATGAAGACGAACATACTCAAATCAACAAGCAGAAATATGAGGTAACCCAAATAAACGTTGGGCGAAACCATAATAAAGTTGGTAAAACTTTTATTTGTCGATGTGTAGATCTTCTTGCAGCAAGACATAACGTTAGACACAGGACAAATACAAGACCAAAATAAAATAGCTACTTAAAGTTACAGGCACTAGTTGTACAACAGAGAATTGAGAATTAATATTAGCCCAAGTGCTATAGAATAACGTGCTCTGTTTCTAAAATAGAAACCTTAAAAGCCATAGAAATACAACAAATACGAGTTGAATAGAATGTACTATAAGTTACTGTTTTTAAAGATGCAGCATGAAGCCCTCATTAATATTCATGCCAATGTTCTAACCACAGTCATTTAAATGTTCAGTTTTGTAAATATAATAATACAGCTCTTTATTAAGCTATATTAAACCCATAAATGCAAAGCTTCGTTTGTTCATCTTACCGAGCTGAGTCTGTCTTCCGTATTAAAGTGTAGGAAAGATCATCGTGTGTCACTTTAGTGTTTTTTTTTTCTTGGTACACAACGAGCCACTTTCATGTGGTTGGTCCAAAAAAAAAAAGGGGGAACTGTGGTGTGAGAGCTGATGATGAGCTGCATTTCTCAAAGAAACTTCTGCTATCTGAGCAGAACTTCATCAAGACTTCACACACTTTATTCTCCAAAAGGTAAGAGCATTTATTTAACACTCTTTACCTGAAACACAAACCCCTCTTACAGTGAGAGTCAGAGAGGTCAGCAGGCCTACCCTGAGAAAATGATAACCTAAACATGTGATTCATGTGGTTACTTCTACAGGATTTTATTTAAAGAAATAATCATTTAACTTTACTGAATCAACCTAAATATATTAGGTTACACCTACAAAACTACATTTAAGGGTAAGATCAGGTAGAACTACGTAATAATTGTAGATGTCCACTTTTTACTGCGTTGATGTGCTGTGTTTTATTAGACCTAACGATAACTCTTAATCTGTTTTTATTTGCTATAAAGTTGCATATTTACCACAGACTTCCTGTGAACATGTTTGAAACGATCTCATTGTGGGCATCTTCTAAACTGTGTGTGCGGGTCATTTGAGACACTTTTTTATAAATATAGTCTATTCCAAAACTTTAGTTCATTTATGGCTAAAATTATGTGTGACGTTTTAAGTGAGAATTAACTGACACATGCTTATTTTTATCCAAACCACCAACGCACATTTGTCTGCTCTGACTAATTTATTTAATTTATGATATATTTCTCTTTTATTACTGTGTAAAAAACATGATTTTGTTCCTCAGTTCTCCAGTACAAATATCTAAAAACATTCCTAAATCAAGATACATTCACTTGAGAATCAAAAAATTATCGATTTTTGCTTCAAACTAAAAAAAACTGGGGTTTTCCTTTTGAATTTTTCTGACACCATTGGCTGTTTAAAGCATAAACTTCATTTTGATAATTTGTTCAGTAAACACAACTTAATATCTGATGTCATTTTGCTTCTCAAGTAAATGTATCTTGATTTAAGAATGTTTAGATATTTTTACTTGAAAACAAGACAAATACAATGGATAAAAATAAAATAAAATGAATATGTGGATTATCCTGAGCATTATGTAATCCAGGAAAACTGCAACTAAGTACCTGGAAACATTAAAAGCCATACATGTGCTGTATAGATTACCTCACAGAAATTGTACATAATGTTTACGTACATAACCATGTTTTTGCTGTTTAACCCTTGCTTTTTTCCCCCCATTTCAACGAAATGATTGTACTATATTCTAGTTTGATCATATCTTTTATTTATTTATTTTTTAAAGGCAATTAATGGTATACTCAATTATATTTATGCAGTAGTTATAATCCAAATATTCACTTTTTTGAGCATTTTATAACAATAAAAATATTCTGTCAAACATGGCCGACCAGCACTAGTCGACTTCAGTCTCTCCTTCTGTCCACATTTGAACTGCTGAAAGGTGGCACAATCATTTTTGATCCATTATGTCAAATAACAATATTCTTTTCAAATGACAGACAAATGCGGTACACGTTTAAGCCGGATGACTGCATGGTCATCAGCATTCCCCTGGGAAGCGTCAGGGACATGAGAGAGGGCCAGCTGATGCCCGAGAAATTCACCTGCGTCTTCAAAGACACTTACAAGGTTTTTCTGAAAGGACGACCAAAGGAACTCGGGGTGCGTACCAAGATTTAAATGCATAATAATGTCAGATATTCATTTATTTTATCAAGGGGCTCATTTATTTGTGCATTTTTTACTTTACTTTTATTTTTCTTAACATATCTCTATACACCATCATTGTGGATTTTGATGTAGTCAAAGTTGTGAGTTGATTTTAGTTTCGTTTTAGTTGCAGAAACACACGCATAACAGAAATTAAGCATGATTTCACTTCTTTTTTTTTGCTGCTCATGTTTTTGCTGGTATATCTGGGCCGTTTCATCAGTTTCAGTGGTATTTTCGACCTGAATGCTGGTTGATTTGTGACTCTGGTTTCAACAGATAAGCATTTATATGCCATCATTTTACATTGGTTTCCCATCCACTAAATGCAAAAACATATAGGGCTATAATTTTATATTTTTATACTATTATACACACAGTGGGGACCAAAAGTCTGAAAACACCAGTGAAAATGCCTCTTTCCATTTTTTTCATAACATCTCAGTATTTGGTGTGTTTATCTTTTGCTGGAGCTGCACAAAACCTGATGATTATGTTTATGATTTGAGGATATCTGACCATCTGTGCAAAGAGTCACATGATCAATGACACTCATTTACTTACATTTCATCTATAAATATCTTAGTTTACTTTGGTCACACTTTAGTTTAGGGTCCATTTCTCACTAGTAACTATAACTTTTGCCTCAATAAACTCCTAATTATTGCTTATAGTATTGGATAGGATTAAGGGATGTAGAATGTCATGCAGAATAATATGTGCTTTATAAGTATAATAAACAGACAATATTCTAATATGAATAGTAGTGAGAATTGGACCCCAAACTAAAGTGTTACCTGTAGTTTTACATTCCTGTTCAAAGTATTAACTTCTTGACTGTATGTAGTTTTATGAGAATAATGACTGTATGGATGTTGTTGATGTTTCAGGCGGCTCAGCTCAGCATCGGTGCGTTTGTCATTTGCATCGGCGTCCTCATTGCTCTTTATTATGGTTTGTCTCATTTAGTGTACACCCTACCTAGTGCCCTGGTAAGAACATAGCGACCCTCTTTCTATTTACCACAGCTCATTTTTTGTGTATGTTTTTATTCGTGTAAACACACATACATCTCACACTGTCTCTGTTATTTAGTTCATTGCTACTGGAATTCTGACATTTGCAGCTGGGAAGTCTCCGTTCATGCCTGTGGTAAGTGATCATACATATATAACAAATACATATATATATATATATATATATTTTATCATGATGGAAACTGAATTGAATCATTTATCTTCTTGTTCTGAAAGATGAAACTGTCCTTCGCATTCAACATTATCAGCCTTTTCTGGTCCATCGCAGCTCTTGTTCTCTGCTCGCTGACAAGCGAGGTAGGCCTATGTGTCATTTGTCATTCTTTACACATGTACTGTATAAATTGGAGCGCTGTGCATATATCCCACTGATTTACTTTATTTTTTACAGGATTTATACAGGAGCACAGATGACATTTCAAAGGTACCGTTATGTGCTCATAGCAAACCTGCACTTACACTGTAAAAAAAAAAAATATCTTCATGATTTGTAATCATTACATTTTTCTTAGATAACATTTTTCAGGTAACATCATATTTTGAGTTTCTGATGATTAAATCAATCTCCTTCACTGTATTAAAGGAGTAGTTCACTTTTGAAAAAAACTTTTGCTGATAATTTACTCACCCCCATGTCATCCAACATGTCCATGTCTTTCTTTCTTCAGCTGAAAAGAAATTAAGGTTTTTGATGAAAACATTCCAGCACTTTTCTCCTTATAATGCACTTCAATGGGAACCAAACGGTTCAAGGTCCAAAAGACAGTTTCAGTGCAAACTACAAACTGTTCAAAGGGCTTTGAATGACACCAGACGATGAATAAGGGTCTTATCAAGCGAAACGATCGCTCATTTAAAAAAAATATTCTAAAGTTTTAAGTTTTATAAGCTCAAATGCTCGCCTTGCTCTGTTCTGTGATGCACGTTCAATTCGATTCTATCTCCAATTCGAACTTGTTCTTTTTCCGAGTCATTTGGTTTAATTAACGAACGAAACGAACAAATTGGCTCAGAAAAAGATTTGTTCATTTTGATGAACAAGTTCAAACTGGAGAGTCACGAACATGCATCGCAGAACAGAGCAAGGCGAGCATTTGTGCTTCTAAAACGTAAACTTTGTAAAAAAAAATTTTAAATGAGCGATTGTTTCGCTTGATAAGACCCTTATTCATCGTCTGGAATCGTTTAAAGCCCTTTGAACAGTTTGCACTGAAACTGTCTTTGGACCTTGAACCGTTTGGTTCCCATTAAAGTCCATTATATGGAGAAAAGGCTGGAATGTTTACATAAAAAAACTCAATTTCTTTTCGACTGAAGAAAGAAAGACGTGGACATTGAAAAGTGAACTGCTCCTTTAACTCAATTTTTCCATTTCAATGAACTTAAAGGGTTAGTTCACCCAAAAATGAAAATTAAGTCATTAATTACTCACCCCCATGCTGTTCCAACCCCGTAAGACCTTCGTTCATCTTCGGAACACAAATAAAGATATTTTTGATTGAATCTGAGAGCTCGATCAGTCCTACATAGACTGCCTAAGGGACTGGCTCTTGACGGCCCATAAAGTCATTAAAGAAAAGGTTTAAATATTCCATGTACCTACAGCGGCTCAATTATAAGTTTATCAAGCGACGAGACTACTTTTTGTGCGAAAAAAACATAAATAACGGCTTTATTCGACTATTCCATTACTTCCTTATTGGCGCATGCGCGAGAACTGAGACGAGGACGTTCTCAATCGTCTACTTCTTGTTACCGGCTGCTCACCGCTTAGGAGTTTTACCTTCCCCTACCGTATAAGATGATAATAAGGCACACTGTCGTTTTTTGAGAAGATTAAAGGCTTTTAAGTGCACCTTGTATTGCGGAAAATACGCTAATTGAAAAGCGTATGTACAGCGCGCATCTTCCTCTGCTTGTAAACAGAAAGTTTTGCGCTTCCAGCTATATCAGCACATCATCTTATACGGTAGGGGGCGGTAAAACTCACCTAAGCAGTGAGCAGCCGGTAACAAGTCGAAGGAGATCGTCCTCGTCTCAGTTCTCGCGCATGCGCCCATAAGGAAGTAATGGAATAGTCAAATAAAGCCGTTATTTATGTTTTTTTCGCACAAAAAGTAGTCTCGTCGCTTGATAAACTTATAATTGAGCCGCTGTAGGCACATGGAACATTTAAACATTTTCTTTAATGACTTTATGGGCCGTCAAGAGCCAGTCCCTTAGGAAGCCAA